GACAAAGAAGGCAGAAGACCCAGGACCAAGCACTACAGTGTGTTCCAACGTATTTCAAAGTTCATCCTCTGGGGAAATGCTGGCAGCTGTGAGAACGGGAAAAGGTGCGCTCCAGGTAGGAAGCTCGTTTGCATAATAAAAGATTACAGTGGGGTGGACAATAAACGTCACACCTGGCCCAACCAATCTTTGGGCCTTATGTAAATCAGACACCATCTCCTCAAGCTGTCTATGAAACCCAGTGCATTTCACCACCTAACCGGAAGAGCCACTCAGGGCCCCCTGTCTCTCTGCAGGACAGAGCTATTCTCCTTTCCCTTTCTTTTGCCTATTAAACTTCCACTCTCTTTTCTTTCTTTCTTTTTTTTTTTTTTTTTTTTTTTGAGACGGAGTCTCGCTTTGTCACCCAGGCTGGAGTGCAATGGCATGATTTCAGCTCACTGCAACTTCTGCTTCCCGGGTTCAAGCAATTCTCCAGCCTTAGCCTCCCAAGCAGCTGAGATTACAGGTGCCCACGACCATGCCCGGCTAATTTTTTGTAGTTTTAGTACAGACAGGGTTTCACCATGTTGGTCAGGCTGGTCTCGAACTCCTGAACTCATATGATCTACCCACCTCAGTCTATCAAAGTGCAAAGTGCTGGGGTTATAGGTGTGAGTCACTGCGCTGGCCTAAACGTCTACACTTAAACTCAAAAAAAAAAAAAAAAAGGTTCATCTTCTGAGGGGGAACCAGCAAAAAAAAATATGTATATAGAAAATTCCTTGGTAATGAAGAGGAAAGAGACACTAATACGTGCTGCAGTGTAGCTGACCTTGAAAGCCTTATGTGACGTGAAAGAAGTCAGACATAAAAGGCCACATATTACATGATTCCATTTATGTACAATGTCTAGGCTGAGCGCAGTAGCTCATGCCTGTCATCCCAGCACTTTAGGAAGTGAAGGTGGGAGGATCACTTGAGCCCAGGAGTTCAAGACCAGCCTCAGCAACACCACCATATCTACAGAAAAAAAACCCCTGCCATTCTTTACCTATGACGGTCTCAGTAAATTCCTTTACTCCCTATGACTCCAGCCACAGCCACAGCCGGCTGCACCCACAACCCCTAGGTCAGCGTAGCACTGGTCCCACTCATGAGGGGCCAGTTTTCACTTTTTTGGCAAAATGGAGAAACATTAATTGGGGCCAAGAGTGCCTGTTGGAAACCCATTTCTTGAATAACATTCTTTTAAAAACAATTGTTTTTTAAAGACAGGGTCTCCCTCTGTCACCCAGGCTGGAATGTAGTGGTGCAATCACAGATCACTGCAGCTTCAAACTCCTGGGCTCAAGTGATTCTCCTCCAGAGTAGCCGGGACTGCAGGTATGTGCCACCATGCCCAGGTAATTTTCTAAAAAAAATTTTTTTTTCATAAACCATAGTTTATACAATAGTTTAGCTTACACTATTAACACTTGATTGAAAATATTCCTTTTTTTGTTTGTTTGTTTGAGACAAGAGTCTCACTCTGTCGCCCAGGCTGGAGTGCAGTGACGCGATCTCGGCTCACTGCAAGCTCCGCCTCCCAGGTTCACGCCATTCTCCTGCCTCAGCCTCCCGAATAGCTGAGACTACAGGCGCCCACCACCACGCCTGGCCGATTTTTTTGTATTTTTAGTAGAGATGGGGTTTCACTGTGTTAGCCAGGATGGTCTCAATCTCCTGATCTCATGATCTACCTGCCTTGGCCTCCCAAAGTGCTGGGATTACAGGCGTGAGCCACCGCGCCCGACCTATAGAAAATATTTCTATTGAAAAGAACATACTATGCAAACACTTAAAAGTATTTGGTAAGAAAACAAAAGCACATCTTTACGACCAATGTGAATTACTAACTGACAATGATCAACTTCTCACATTAACCTACTTGTGATTGAAGAAATAATTATCCTGTCTATGGATGACACAAGCAACTTGGCCAGGACAGAAGCAGTGGATGAAACCACATAGAATTCCAATTTGGCCAGTTAACTTATATAAGTGTAATGAAACAGTTAACTTTATTCATTAGTATACTCAAACACTATCTTTCCTTCCAAGATTTTCAAAAATTTAATTATCCAAATAACTGAAGTTTGGTATTTCTATGTTTTTCAATACAAAAAGCGTCAGGAACCTTTTATACAGTAATGAGATGGAAAGAAAACAACAGCTTGGCCGGGCATGGTGGCTCAAGCCTGTAATCCCAGCACTTTGGGAGGCCGAGATGGGTGGATCACGAGGTCAGGAGATCGAGACCATCCTGGCTAACACGGTGAAACCCCGTCTCTACTAAAAAATACAAAAAAGCTAGCCGGGCGAGGTGGCGGGCGCCTGTAGTCCCAGCTACTTGGGAGGCTGAGGCAGGAGAATGGCATAAACCTGGGAGGCAGAGCTTGCAGTGAGCTGAGATCCGGCCACTGCACTCCAGCCTGGGTGACAGAGCGAGACTCCTGGCTAACACGGTGAACCCCGTCTCTACTAAAAATACAAAAAGCTAAGCGGGCGAGGTGGCGGGCGCGCCTGTAGTCCCAGCTACTTGGGAGGCTGAGGCAGGAGAATGGCATAAAACCTGGGAGGCGGAGCTTGCAGTGAGCTGAGATCCGGCCAAATGTGCACTCCAGCCTGGGTGACAGAGCGAGACTCTGTCTCTCAAAAAAAAAAAAAAAAAAAAAAAAAGAAAACAACAGCTTTGGGCCGGGCGCGGTGGCTCAAGCCTGTAATCCCTGCACTTTGGGAGGCCGAGACGGGCGGATCACGAGGTCAGGAGATCGAGACCATCCTGGCTAACATGGTGAAACCCCATCTCTACTAAAAAATACAAAAAACTAGCCGGGCGCGGTGGCGGGCGCCTGTAGTCCCAGCTACTCGGGAGGCTGAGGCAGGAGAATTGCTTGAACCCGGGAGGCGGAGCTTGCAGTGAGCTGAGATCTGGCCACTGCACTCCGGCCTGGGCAACAGAGCGAGACTCCGTCTCAAAAAAAAAAAAAAAAAAAAAGAAAACAACAGCTTCCCATGAAAGAGGCCTAATCTAGTCAAATATAAAAAGAAGTAATGTAACCTCTTTTTTTTTTTTTTCTTTTTTGAGACGGAGTCTCTCTCTGTCATCTAGGCTGGAGGGCAATGGTGTGATCTCCGCTCACTGCAACCTCTGCCTCCCGGGTTCAAGTGATTCTCCTGCCTCAGCCTCCTGAGTAGCTGAGAACATAGGCATATGCCACCATGCCCAGCTTATTTTTATTTTGTATTTTTAGTAGAGACGGGGTTTCACCATGTTGGTCATAGCTGGTCTTAAACTCCTGACTTCAAATGATCCACCTGCCTTAGCCTCCCAAAGTGCTGGGCTTACATGTGTGAGCCACCATGCCTGGCTGACACCCAGCTGAAATGTAGCCCCTTGATAACAGCCAAATCACTGTATTAGAAACATTTAAATTCCAGCTCTGGGGGTCAAGGGTGAGGTGTTTAAAATGTTCCTTTAAGTTAAACCAAGTGGATGAATTTTAAAAGAAAAAGCAATTTATGAACCTATGGACATATCATTAAGAAAGAAAAAAATGATTAGTAAATTCCAAAAGTTAAAAGGAGTTGGAAAAAATTCCAACTAGAAAGAAAAAAAATGTTGGTTTCAATTAAGGGTTTTTTTTGGGTCCATTTTATATAAGAGCTTACTTATTCTTTTTCCAAATGTGCATTTATTATTTGCACAGATACATACAAATTATTCCCATTTTAAAAGCCACAATAAAAATATACATTAACCACAGAAGTACTTACTCTAACTGGAAAGAAAATGAACATGGCTATATTCAAAACAGCAATAAACACAAAAGGTCAACGTATCTAAATCATGATAAGTGTACATCTCATTTTTGACAAAACTGAGTTCCATTTTTACATTAATGCTCCATCAGCTTCTATATTAGATCCTCTGACCTTGTTTATATTTACTATGAAATTTCTGTTACCATGTGTCACTCAAAGGCACTCAACTCAGAGGGTATGAAGTCCTGAGCTTAAGTAGGAAACAAAACTCCCAACTAAAATTTGCACATAAATAATTCTAAAGATCAGAGAGTATTAATGTTTAAAAGTATAATATCTGTTTTAAAAGTATTTAATGTTTAAAAGTATAATAATAAAGTATAATAATTTATTATAAATATATAATAAATATATTTAAAAGTATAATAAATATTACATAATATTTATGTAAATCATTCAAAATCTAATAATAAAGGTATACAGACTGTCAAAGAAAAGACCATGTAAGGCAAGAAGTATCCTTGGAATCAAACTGATTTTTCACTCATTCAAGATCATTTGAAAGTGTGAAGCTAACTTTCATTGTCCTTAAAATCCTAGGAAAGCCAAATTTAAAAAAATAGCATGACAATGCTTAAGTTTAAAAAAAGTTTCTCAGCTTAGTCTCCAAAACCAGGAAGAAAGCATTTAATGATTAAAAACACGTATGAACTGGAAGATACCAGACTAAAAGGAGGAATCATAATAAGCCGGTTTAAAATATTAAAAGAAAGCTTTAAATGCACCAACTCAAAACAGCATTTCTATTTTTTTTTTTTTTTTTTTTTTTTTGAGACGGAGTCTCGCTCTGTCGCCCAGGCTGGAGTGCAGTGGCTCGATCTCCGCTCACTGCAAGCTCCGCCTCCCGGGTTCACGCCATTCTCCTACCTCAGCCTCCCGAGTAGCTGGGACTACAGGCGCCCGCCACTGTGCCCGGCTAATTTTTTTCTATTTTTTAGTAGAGACGGGGTTTCACCATGGTCTCGATCTCCTGACCTTGTGATCCGCCCGCCTCAGCCTCCCAAAGTGCTGGGATTACAGGCGTGAGCCACCGCGCCCGGCAAAACAGCATTTCTAATTGGCCATCTAAATTATTCTTTTAGATTATTTTAGCCAAATAAAAATAAATTTACTGATGGATAACTGAGGTCCACTAACATAAGGTAGAAACAAAGTTTAAGCTAAAAATTAAATCTATATTTTGTTGCAGATAAATGTGAGATTTACCTACAGTAATTTTCTGCTGTTGCTAAATTAAAAGCATGAGTTGACATTGTACTAACAGAAATGGTTTGACAGATATTTTCTTGGCTTTAAAATGTTTTGTTCATATATGCAGAGAAATGCAATGAGGATAAGAATAATCTTCTGTATTGTCTGTACAGTTCATAAGGCCTTTACCATCGTTAGTCACCTTAGATGTGAATATCAGTAGAGCCATTAAATTAAAGCTGGCCTAAAAAGTTTTCAAAGTGCTACTGTTTCCAACTGATGAGATCTTCAGTTTTCTGGATTTTCTGGGTGATGATTATTTTCAATTCTTTTCTCTGGCGATATATACAAGAAGTTACAGCAGATATATAAAGGGAAGGTCAGAAACCTGCTGTCCAAATTCATCACCACTTGTTCCTGATCCTTTTTAAGTATAAGTATTTGATAGCCAGTTGTTCTATTACATATTAGTTTTCCACTACTATCAAAAGAAGCCAAACGTAATCTAAATGCTATGCTCCTTTGAGGCTGTAAACTGACAGACCTGCTACATGGCTGATTGAGTGTATTGCGTTTGAAAATGACGCATCGATTGGTGTAAGTTACAAGTAGGTCAAAGCCAAAGTTAAAACCCGTCCAACACCAGCAGTATTCACCGTCTTTGGCAAGCTTTCTACCACACCTCATGCTATTTCCCTCTAGTTCTTCTTTATCGATTTCTTGAGGGCCTACCTCACTGTCTTGTTCGGCCCGCAGCATAGCAAACCACTGCTGTTTATACACCGAAGACAGCCATTCTGAAGGTACTATAGCATCTTGTTCAATAATTCTTGCAGAAGCCAGGTCACTGATAATATATTGTAACCTTAAATGTCTGAATACTGACACAAATGGTTTTCCTTGTTCAGTTTCAAGAAAGGCCATACCTTCAAAATCTTTTCTCTGTTTGGAAAACCAGACATCTGTTTCTGTCAAAAGCTGTTTTAAAGATCCATTCCAAGAAGGCACAAGTTGAAGAAACATCCACTTTTTTAGAGCGGTGTATACATCCATCTCCACTTGCATCACAAATAAGTTAGATGAACCAATGAGCTGTTTCATGACATTTATACTGAGTTCTTTAAAAAGTTTAACATTCTGGTGAGTCATCAAATTGTTTAGAAGCCATTCAAGGCACTTTTTCTTTACGGAATCTAATCCATAGGTCCCTACTGATGTGTAATAGCCACATACAGTTTTCACAGTAATTGTCTCCTTCATCGTCTCACCACACTGCTGTATTAAACCATCCAACTGCAGCATACAAGCAGCTGCCAAAATGGCAACAACTCGACTGGGCTTTATCAGCACGTCATCTCGATACAGTGAACCAAACGCAACCTGCAGCGCTTCTACATCAATGTTCTGGTCAGGAATCTCCAGTTCAATAATATTCATGCTGGATTCTTTCCAAGAACCACTGAACATACTAGAAAAGTAGCCAGATTGACATAAATATATTTTGTGTAATCGCCATTCTTCTCCTAGAGCACAAATCTTAATGTCACTGTTTTCACCATTCAAAAATAATGTTTGATAAATATATTTGGATGTACTCCTTAATTTTTTCCTTGCAGGGATGTGGAGGAGCGGCTGCTGCTCGTCCCTCTCCTCCTCATCCTCGTCTCTCTCCGAGTCAGGGCGACAGTAGCGGAAGGCCCCGCTGCTCTTGTGACTGCCCGGGCAGTAACAGAAGCCGTAGCCCGCCGCAGGGTCTCCAGGGTCCGGCCTCCCGGCCGAGCGCGCCGCCCTGGCACCCTGCTCCTGCTGGGCAAGGGCTCGCCTCGGCTGGCGCAGCACCCGGCTGCTCGACGATCCCATGGGTCGCGGCTCCCGGGACTTCAGGGAGCCCGGAGGAGGGGGTGTCCCGCCATGGCCCGGCCGCGCCGCCAGCCTTCCCCGAGCGCAGGTGCCTGCACCGCCGGCTTCTCACGCGCAGCCCAACCGTTGCAGCGGACACTGCCGCCTCCATCCTCCGCACCCCTCCCCCACTATAGATATGTATATATTTTTGGAGACAGTCTCGCCCTGTCGCGCAGGGTGGAGCACTGTGGCGCGATCTCAGCTCACTGCAAGCTCCGCCTCCCGAGTTTAGGCGATTCTCCTGCCACAGCCTCCTGAGTAGCTGGATTACAGGCTCTCGCTACCACACCCGGGTAATTTTTGTAATTATTATTATTATTATTTATTATTATTTTTTTTTTTGTAGCCGGAGTCTGGCTCTGTTGCCCAGGCTGAAGTGCAGTGGTGTGATCTCGGCTCACTGCAACCTCCACCTCCTGGGTTTAAGCAATTCTCCTGCCTCAGCCTCCCAAGTAGCTGGGATTACAGGCGCCTGCCACCACACCTGGCTAATTTTTGTATTTTTAGTAGAGACGGGATTTCACCATGTTGGCCAGGCTGGTCTCGAACTCCTGACCTCAGGTGATCCACCTGCCTTGGCCTCCTGAAGTGCTGGGATTATAGGCGTGAGCCACCACCTCTGGCCTAAAAAAATTTTTTTTAGAGGCAAGGTTTCACTGCCTTGCTCAGGGTGGTCTTGAACTCCTTGGACAGCATTCTTCATTGCTGGAAGCAATTCTCATCTGGCAGCCAAAACCAAGGTCCGTTTTACAAGCACCACTTCCCCAGGAGCAAAGGTTTATTTGTGGGACCTGACAAAGGCAAATGTGTGTGCCAGGTGCTTGAGCCTAACCAGTCCAATGTAAATTTGTGACCAGGCACGAAAATAAAATAAAATAAAATAATAAGATAGGCCAGGCTCAGTGGCACACACCTATAATTCCAGCACTTTGGGAGGCTGAGATGGGTGGATCACTTGAGGTCAGGAGTTTGAGACCAACCTGACCAACATGGTGAAACCCCATCTCTACTACTAATATAAAATTTAATTGGGTGTGGTGGCGCACACCTGTAATCCCAGCTTTTCAGGAGGCTGAAATGGAGAATTGCTTGAACCCAGGAGGCAGAGGTTGCAGTGAGCCAAGAGCGCGCCATTGCACTGCAGCCTGGGTGACAAGAGCGAAACTCCGTCTCCAAAAAAATAATAAGATAAAATAAAGAGTTGAAGTCAAGCCAGGCACGATGGCTCACACCTGTAATCCCAGCACTTTAGGAGGCCGAGGTGGGCGGATCACGAGGTCAGGAGTTCGAGACCAGCCTGGCCAATATGGTGAAAATGACCATGGCTGGGTGGAGTGATGACTGCAGCTGGTGTGGGAAGGCAGAAGCAAGCAGAGGGCCTGGGCAGGATGGGCAGGGATTCTCTGCGGGGAGGATCTGTGGAGACGGGGCAGCAGGATTAGGATGTTGGAATCGAGGAGGCTTTTGTCCCTGGGGGATGGAGTGGAGAAGCGGGGCATGGGCGTGGGAATTTGGCCTGCAGCCTAGCCTCACCAGGCCATCTGGAAGCTACTTGTTGGGAACGCTGTGTGTGTAAAGGGCTGACCCAGGCCCAGACCCGGGGGAGCTGGAAAAGGGCACACACGGAGACCACCCGAGAGGTGTGCTGGAACTGCTTGGCCAGTCCTGGGGGACGGGATGGCTGGGGCGTGTGGGTGTCTTCCTGCAAGAAAACAGGACTTGATGAGGAAGGTGGGAGGCTGTTCCAGGCAGATGGAGGTCTGTGCTGCCAGAGCAATGTAGGAGTTGCCACCATGCGGGGCTCCACCTTTGTTGCAGTGGGGGCAGAGATTGGTGAGGGGCATCAGGGTCAGATATGTAGGTTTGAGGAACCCTAGATGGACCAGTGCTGCAGGGGGAGATGGTGCCATGCCAGGGAGGTGGATAGGATGCTGGACACAAGTGAAGAGCAACCAGCCCTGGTGGCTTCCTCAAACCTACGTGAGTGCCTGCCCCATTCCCAGACGAAGAAAACAGAGGTTTCAATAGGGAAAGTGACTTGTTCTAAATCCCAGAGTTGCAAAGTCAGGAAGTTCACCCTCCTGATTCCAAAGGCAAATCTGGAGTTTCTGTTGGAGTTAAGGGGCCAAGTGAATAGTCTGTGTTAACAAAACAAACAAACAAAATTCTGTAAATATTTAAAGAAGTTTATTCTCAGCTGATGTGAGTGACCATGGCCTGGGGTACAGTCTCAAGAGGTCCTTAGAAAGTGTGCCTGAGATGGTTGGGTTACAGTTTGGCTTTATACATTTTAGGGAGACAGAGATTACAAGCAAATACATCAATCAATACATGGAAGGTGCACACTGGTTCGGCCTCTAAGGGCAGGACAACTCCAGGGGCTTTACAGGTCATAGGTGATTCAAAGGGTTTCTGATTGGCAGTTGGTTGGAAAAGTTAAGCTGTGTCTGAAGAGTTGAAGTGGCTGGGTACAATGACTCACGTCTGTAATCCCAGCACTTTGAGAGGCTGAGGAGGATGGCTGGATCCCAGGAGTTTTAGACAAGCCTGGGCACCACAGTGAGACCCGGTGTCTACAAAAAAATTTTAAAAATTAATTGGGCATGGTGATGTGTACTCGTAGACCCAGCTACTCGGGAGGCTGAGGCGGGAGGGTTACTTCATCCTAGGAAGTCAAGCCTATGGTGAGCCATGACTGTAGCACTGCATTCCAACTGGGGGGACAGAATGAGACCCTGTCTCAAAAATAAAATAAAATAAAATAGGCTGGGCGCAGTAGCTCACACCTGTAATCCCAGCACTTTGGGAGGCCATGGTGGATGGATCACTTGATGTCAGGAGTTCGAGACCAGACTGGCCAATATGGTGAAACCCCATCTCTACTAAAAATACAAAAATTAGCCGGGCATGGTGACGGGCATCTGTAGTCCCAGCTACTCTGGAGGCTGAGGCAGGAGAATCGCCTGAACCTGGGAGGCGGAGGTTGCAGTGAGCCAAGATCGCACCATTGCACTCCAGCCTGGGTGACAAGAATGAAATTCCATCTCCAAAAAAAATAATAATAATAAGATAAAGAGTTGAAGTCAAGCCAGGCATGGGGGCTCACGCCTGTAATCCCAGCAGTTTGGGAGGCCGAGGAGGGCAGATCACAAGGTCAGGAGTTTGAGACCAGCCTGGCCAATATGGTGAAACCCCATCTCTACTAAAACTACAAAAATTAACTGGGTGTGGTGGCAGGCATCTGTAGTCTCAGCTACTCTGGAGGCTGAGGCAGGAGAATCGCTTGAAACCAGGGAGGTGGAGGGTGCACTGCACTCCAGCCTGGGCAACAGAGCAAGATTCCATCTCAAAAAAAAAAAAAACAGAGTTGAAGTCAGTGGGAAGAAATGCTTAAGATAAGGGGGTTGTGGAAGCTGAGGTTCTTGTTATGTAGATGGCCTCCAGGTAGCAACCCTGAGAATAGATAGTGAATGTCTCTTTTCAGACCTTCAAAGGTTTCAGACTCTCACTGAATCTCTCCTAAATCTGAGAAAGTCCTGGCTGAATTAATGGAAATTCTCTACAGATGCAAATTTCCCCCACAGGAGACAGCTTTGCAGGGCCATTTCAAAATATTGTCAAATAAATATATTTTGGGGCAAAGTATTTTGATTTCCTTCAGGGTCTGCTATCTGTTATGTGATGTTGTACCAGAGGCAGGTAGAAATTTGGCATCTTATTGCTCTAAAAAGCCTGTTTTGAGCCGGGCATGGTGGCTCATGCCTGTAATCTCAGAACTTTGGGAGGCTGAGGCGGGTGGATCACCTGAGGTCAAGAGGTCAAGAGTTTGAGACCAGCCTGGCCAACATAGTGAAACCCCGTCTCTACTAGAAATACAAAAAATTAGCTGGATGTGGTAGTGGGCGCCTGTAGTCCCAGCTACGCAGGAGGCTGAAGCAGGAGAATCACTTGAATCCGGGAGCCAGAGGTTGCAATGAGCCGAGATCATGCCATTGCACTCCAGCCTGGGCAACAAGAGTGAAACTCTGTCTTAAAAAAAAAAAAAAAAAAAAAAAAAAAAGAAGTCTGTTTTGTGTCTTATGATCTCTATTTTATTTATTTTAAAAATAATTTATTTTATTTTTGAGACAGAGTTTCACTCTTGTTGCCCAGACTGGAGTGCAATGATGCTGTCTTGGCTCACTGTAACCTCCACATCCCAGGCTCAAGCAATTCCTGTGCTTCAGCCTCCCAAGTAGCTGAGATTACAGGCATGTGCCACTATGCCCGGGTAATTTTTTGAATTTTTTGTAGAGATGGGGTTTCATCATGTTGGCCAGGTTGGTCTCGAACTCCTGACCTCAAGTGATCCACCTGCCTTGGCCTCCCAAACTGCTGGGATTACAGGAATGAGCCACCATGCCTGGATAGAATAAATATTTTATGCTTTGGGCCAACAAGCAAAATCGAGGGTATTAAGTAGGTAAGTACGTAACAAGAAATAAAACAAAATTCCATAATTTGGGGGGATTGTTATTGACAGAACGTAAAAGTTAATTTATGGATGCTGAAAGTGGAGTTTCATACAATTTTTATGTGTTACGAAATATTATTATTTTGATTATTTATTTATTTTTGAGATAGAGTCTTGCTCTGTTGCCCAGGCTGTGATCTCAGCTCACTGCAACCTCTGCCTCCCAGGTTCAAGCGATTCTCCTGCCCCAGCCTCACAAGTAGCTGGGATTACAGGCATGTGCCACCACACTCGGCTAATTTTTTTGTATTTTTAGTAGAGATAGGGTTTCGCTATGTTGGCCAGGCTAGTCTTGAACTCCTGATCTCAAGTGATCTGCCTGCCTCGGCCTCCCAAAGTGCTGGGACTACAGGCATGAGCCACTGCACTCAGCCTGATTTTTTTTCAATGATTTAAAAATGTAAAAATCATTATTTGTTCAGGGATCATATAAAATCAAGCAGTAAGCAAAATTTGGGCTATGGGCAATAGTTTGCCAACCTCTGGTCTAGATCTGCCCTGTTCATCATAGTAGCCCCTGGCTACCTGCAGCTACTGAGTACTTGAAATGTGGCCAGGGACACTCACGATGGCTCACACCTGTAATCTCAGCACTTTTGGAGGTTAACGTGGGAGGACTGCTTGAACCCAGGAGATTCAAGTTACAGTGAACTATG